TAACCACTTAACCAAGTACCAATCGCTGAGTAGGTTGAGCATGCTACCAATGCGGTGATGTGGGGCATTTCAAGAGAGATTGTCCAAAAGCTAGAAATGTCGGTGGGGTTGGGAGAATTTTAGCACTAGGTCACAAAGAAGCAGTGGCAGACCCTCCAGTGATCACAGGTACGTTCCTTCTCAACCATACTTATGCATGCATTCGATTTGATTGTGGTGCTGAAAGGAGCTTTGTGAGCCATAATTTTAAACATCTACTAAATCAAAACTCCCAACCACTAAATGAAACTTTTACAGTACAAATGGCTAATGGGAAATCTGAATCCACCAACGATATATACATAGGATGTACTCTTACCTTGAATGACTTGTTGTTCCCAATAGACCTTATGTCGGTCTCTATCAAAAGTTTAGACGTCATAATAGGTATGGATTGGTTGTGCCCTAACCATGCTAACATCCTATGCTATGAAAGAGCTATTCGCTTGAACTTGTCAACTATTGTAAGTCTTATTATTTATCGCGACAAACCCGGAATGAACCTTTAGATAATTTCTTGCATCAAGGCACAGAAATAACTTCGCAAGGAGTATTATGCATTCTTAGCTCACGTGGTAGACAAAAAGCAAGAAGTGAAAGACATCGCGAGCATTCCTGAGGTCTGCAACTTTCCCGATGTGTTTCCTGATGATCTTCCAGGGGTACCTCCCGAACGACAAGTCGAATTCCGAATCGACTTAATCCCTGGAGCTACCCTTGTAGCCAAATCCCCCTATCGTCTTGCACCTTCTAAAATGCAGGAATTATCTAGCCAGCTTAACGAACTCGTAAGCAAAGGTTTCATAAGACCAAGCTTCTTACCATGGGGAGCACCAGTTTTGTTCGTAAAGAAGAAGGATGGGTCATTCTGCGTGTGCATACACTATCGCGAGCTGAATAAACTTACCATCAAGAATCGATATCCTCTGCCTCGCATTGACGATATGTTCTACCAACTTCATGATGCGAACTACTTCTCGAAGATAGACTTGAGATTCGGGTATCACAAGTTACAAATTTTGGAGGAAGACATTCCCAAAACTGCATTCAGAACTCGTTATGGTCATTACGAGTTTATAGTGATGTCATTCGGATTGAAGAATGCACCTGCTGTGTTCATGGACCTAATGAATAGAGTGTGCCATCCATTCCTAGAGAAACTCGTCATAGTCTTCATTGACGACATCCTTATCTACTCAAAAAGCAAAGAGGAACATGACCAACATCTTCGTCAAATATTACAAACTCTTAGATCAGAGAAGCTCTATGCAAAGTTTTCAAAGTGTGAATTTTGGATCAGGAAGGTTGATTTCCTAGGTCACGTGGTCAGTTCAAAAGGAACACACGTTGACCCTTCCAAAATAAAGGCAATTGAAAACTGGTCAGCACCCAAAACACCTACATAAATCCATCAATTCTTAGGCCTTGTTGGCTATTATTGAAGATTCATTCAAAATTTCTCTTGAATAGCTAAGCCTCTTACTACCTTGACCCAAAAGGGTGTAATATTCTGTTGGGGAGAATAGCAAGAAACAACGTTCCAAACGAGCGAGCTTTGTGTAGTGCACCAATCCTATCTCTCCCTAAAGGACAAAGGATTTCATAGTGTACTGTGATGCTTCTAATCAAGGGCTTGCATGTGTTTTTATGCAAAGAGGAAAGGTTATATCCTATGCCTCAAGACAGCTAAAGACACATGAAGTCAACTATACAACACATGAATTTGAACTAGGAGCAGTGGTGTTTGCTCTGAAGATATAGAGACATTACTTATATGGCACGAAATGCACAATATTCACGGAGCATAAAAGTCTCCAGCACATCTTCGATCAGAAAGAGCTGAACATGAGACAACAACGATGGGTGGAGCTATTGAACGATTATGAATGTGAGATTCTTTATCACCCTGGTAAAGCAAACGTAGTAGCTGACGCCCTTAGTAGAAAAGAATACTCAGGACACCGGGTAAAGTCGTTGACCATGACAATCCATTCACATCTGTCCACGTAGATCAAAGAAGCTCAACTTAAATCCTTGAAACCCGAAAACATGATAGGTGAAACCCTGAGAGGAATGGATAAGAACTTTGAAATCAAGGATGATGGAGTCTATTATTTCATGAACCAGATCTGGACACCAAAGTTCGGTGGTTACAAAGATGTGGTTATGAATGAAGCACACAAAACCTGATACTCTATCCACCTAGGTTCAGAGAAGATGTATCTGGACCTTAAGAAACTATACTGGTGGCCTAACATGAAGGCCGAAATCTCTACCTTTGGGGGTAAGTGCCTTACTTGTGCCAAAGTTAAGGTAGAGTACCAGAAACCTTCAGCTTCATTACGACAACCTGAAATCCCTGAATGGAAGTGGGAGCGGATTACAATGGATTTCATAACCAAGTTACCTAATACATCAGGTGGTTATGATACTATTTGGGTAATCGTCGACATATTAACCAAATCCGCACACTTCCAATCAAAGAGACCGACAAGATGGAGAAGCTAACAAGAACTTACCTCAAGGAGATTTTTAGACTGCATGGTGTGCCAATATCTATTATTTCGGACAAAGATAGTAGATTCACCTCTCGTTTTTGGTAGTCTTTACAAAACTCTCTTCGAACTAGGCTGGACATGAGTACAGCCTACCATCCGCAAACCGAAGGACAAAGTGAGAGGACGATTCAAACATTAGAAGACATGTTACAATCTTGTGTGATAGCCTTTTGAAAGGCATGGGATATTCATTTACCCCTTGTTGAATTCTCTTATAACAACAGTTATCACACTAGCATAAAGGCTGCTCCATTCAATGCCCTCTATGGCCGCATGTGCACATCCCCTTTGTGTTGGGCTGAAGTGGGTGACACGTAGCTAGCTAGAGGTCAAACTCCTGATAGTGCTCTCACTGGTCCAAAAATTATTCGAGAAATGACCAAGAGAATCGTACAAATTCAGGAGCGACTTAAAGCTTTCAGAGATAGACAGAAAAGCTACGCTGACAAAAGGAGAAAACCCTTGTAATTCCAAGTTGGTGACCGCGTCTTGTTAAAGGTCTCACCCTAGAAGGGTATGATACGCTTTGGAAAGCATGGTAATCTAAATCCAAGGTACATAGGACCATTTGAGATTCTTACCAGAAACGGTCCTGTAGCTTACAAACTTCGATTACCCAAAGAACTAAGTAACATTCATCCTACCTTACACGTTTTGAACTTGAAAAAGTGTCTATCCGAACAAAGCCGTATCCCGATAGTGAAGGTTCGCTAGAATGCAAAACAGGGACCTGAATTCACTTGGGAGCGGGAGCATCAAATGCAATAGAAATATCCACATCTTTTTCCCTAGTCTATCTGTAATGTTAATTTCGGGACGAAATTCTCTATAATGGGGGGATAATGTAACAAACAGTTATTTCAAACCTATGTAATAATGTAGGTCAATTTGCAGTTCTTTTTAAAATAATAAAGAGAAATTTTAGCATACTGTGTATATTTACATAATTGACCCTCAAAAATAAAGTATTAAACAATCTCGATTTGGATAAGCAAAGTGGTAGAGATTGTAACAAGGTTTCCAAAAATATAAAGAACACTAAAATCCAAGTTATAACGAAGAAGTTATGACCAATCGAAGATCCGTGACAAAACTGGCAAAACACTGTTTAGTGTAAAACTGAATTTTAAATAAAAGGCTTTTTAGCCATAACAATCTAAATGAAAGTTGTAGATTATGTTAAACCGAGAACTTTCATAAAGAGAACGCCGAAATATAACTTTGTATGAGGAAGTTATGATTTTTCTTAGTTTCAGTATAGCAATATACAGCTAAAAACTCAAAATAAAGATGGAGTGATCTTTAGTTGACACAACCTAAATGAGAATTGAAGGTCTCGTCACACTACTAGAAAAAAGGCCTTTTACGATGCTCATTGCGCGTCGTAAAACGCTCAGACGACGCGCAAATGCGCGTCAAGGAAGGCCCTGTCATAAAGAGAGACGACGCGCTTTTGCGCGTCGTCTATAGACGACGCGCATTTACGACGCGCGTTTATGACGCGCATTTACGACGCGCGGTTATGACACCCAATGCGTATCAAGGAAGGCCCTGTCATAAAGGAAGACGACACGCATTTGCATGTCGTAACCTTACGACGCGCGTGTTTATGACACGCAATGCGTATCAAGGAAGCCCCAGTCAAGAAAGGCCATGTCATAAATGAAGGTGACACACATTTTTGCGTAACGTAATTTTAATTTTTTTTTTTTAAAAAATATATTTATATATTTATTAATTTATAAATTAAATTTGCATTTAATCTCTCATAATAGAAATAAAATACCATATACAAAAAATACAATCCATTGCATAATATAAAATAAAATACCATATACAAAAAAATACAATCAATTGCATTTAATCTGTATGTATAACAAAGACACGTGTTAAAATTGTTACCATTAACATCTAATCGTATGGACTCGAGTGTTAAACTTGTTACCATTAACATCTGATTCATAAGTCCTTTCAACAAGATTGTTACCTGCATAAATGAAAACAAATAGGAACATTAACAGCCCAGCTATGAACAATTTCACAAGATGCGCCAAAAATGATGATCATTACTAACTCCTTTCAAGGATAATTTGGTTTGGCTAGAAGATTAAACTAAATACAAATCATAAAGAATCTAAAAAAAGTCAAATGGGAGACTGCTATATATTACTCAACTTTATGATCAATTTGAAGCTTACTCTTGTGGTCTAATAAACTGTGTTTGCAAGTAAAACTTACACATGGTTGCTTTAGCAATTGATTTTGACATGTTATGATAGTTTTCTTTTTGTTTTGGAAGCAACAATTCATTACCAAATGGGAGACTGTTATATATTGTACATATAATTCTAGTAAATTCTACCAGAAGAGTGCATGTGCAGTTCAATCCTAGACACAAATATCCTAGTATTCAAAAGCTGCAAAAACTCCCTTTGAATTACTCATTTTCTTCGACTACAATATCAAATAATCCAATTAGGGTTTATCATACTTTCAATGATGCAATAATAAAAAAAATTAATAAAAGTAATGTGATACCTTTGCAACAAAAAAACCATCCATGTTATGGACATGAGGGTAGAAACGTCTTGTCTTTTCCAAAGATCGATGAAATCTACGTTCTCTAAATCGAACAAACCTTCAAAAGAATAATACAAATTCTTTTAGACACAAATATATTCATCAATTTTTTTTAAAAAAAATAATAATAAATAGATACCTTGGGCGTCCAAAATCTAGTCCACATGGCACAAGTTTCACATCCCTCTTCTTCAGTGCATAGTCTATAACATCTTCATTCTGCAATATCACAAGGACTCAAATAAAAGATGTTGAAAATAAATATTCAGTCGTCAAATAACCCCCTGTTTTTGAATTTGCATCAACTATGTCAATTGTTGCAAGTATTAATTCCTGCAAATCAACATATTTAAAATTTTAACATAAGTTGCTTAAAATAGTTAATAAAATTTTACAAGAATAATTGCATAAGTGATGTAAAACTGAAAACCATACATAAGTGATCTAATTAAATTAATTGATAGAAAGCGTTTGGGTACCTTTTGTAGACGTGAGAAGTTTTGTACATCAATAGCAGCTTTAGAGGTTTTGACAATATAACCTGTAAAAATCATTAAAAATAAATAAATAAAAAAATCTTCTTATTAAACTAAAAACCATATAAAGCTTTTATGCTTATCCCAACACCACTACAAGGAGCATCCAACAAAACCCTCTCTGCTATGTTATGTCCCAATACTTTTGGGAGCTGAAATCAAATAAAAAAAAAAGCAAATTACAAAAATGCCCATAAACAGAAACTCAATATTATATAAAACTGAAGAGTATTTCTACAACAATTCAGTGAGGATGAGGGCATTCGTGTCTTTTTCACAAACGAGAGATTCTAACCTTTTTGGTTAAGACAAATGAGGAAGATATAAAATTCTAGAATAAGTAAGTTTCTAAATTCATGAAAAAAATACCTGTTGTCTTTTTGCAAGCTGCCATCTTACAACACGGTGGATAATTTCCTTCCGAATGGGAAGATCAAAAGCATCACATGCAAACACCATCAATCCTTTGTCTTCTTTTTGAAGGTTTGTAACTAGGATCACCAGGTCCTATAGTTGACCTGTGTCAAAGTCTTCATTCAGAATTTAACCAAAATTGAAAAATATTATAAATGGTGTAATTTTGTAAACTTACCAACAACTACTTTTGTAAAACCAGAATGCATTTCAAGGCTTCCTAAAAATAGTTTTTTTTCTTAACAGATCACTCTTCAAGTCAACACAACACAGATTGAAATGTTCACTGTTGACAGCTTTAAGAGGAAGTTCTACAGCCCACAAGCACTTGGGGGTCATCAATATGCTCACAAAAGGGATAGAGATGCAGCCAAACCTGAGTAATTTAATTAAACATCATTATTCTATGGATTTACCTACTGGAAATGTAGAACATCTTCTCCACCAGACAAAATGTATTTCCCATCCGAACTGATTAATTAAATTAAATCAAGATTTTTTTTCACTTGATAAAAGATTATGTAAGAATGACTTTTGTAATTTTATTACCTCCAGGCACAACATAGAACAACACCATAGTAACTTTTTCCACCGCATATCAGTTGTTCATTTAAAAAATAAAACACATGTAAATAACCTATATTAAAAAAATGGAATCAAGATTAAAAAATGTAGGAAATGAGTTAAAATGTTACAGAGGAATGACCTCATATCGTTGAAGTGGAGGGTGGAGGGTATCCATGTACTCTCAAATGAGTTGGTGAAGGGTGTCACAATTAGGGACCCACTCAATTAACCCACTGTTTGGAGACAAAGGAATGACCTCATATCGTTGACATGCCCCAGCTGCCCATTCTGCCCTTCCCTTTGCATCAATAGATGCTCACTCACGTGCATCAGCTTGTGCTCTTTGAACAACAGCCCTTTCAGACCTCAAACGATATTCTACATTAGACTTTTCATCTCATTCTATGTTCACCATCTAATCAACACATTTTAAAAATCAGATTGACATTCTTCTCGTAGCTAATATTCAGAAGCATAAAGGAACAGAAACAAGAAATCAAGAGCTTCTGCATCTATTTATGCACTCATTATAATCCTGGATTACATCAGGAAATTGTAGAAAGAAAATACCTGTGAAGTAAAATGTGGCATATTCAACTTTAAAAACACCAAAAGTAGTTAAATCCTTGAACAACTATGCATTCCCCTGACTTATTGGAGTTTGCATATCACTAGACTCCTATCATTAATTATATTACCATGCAATTCTTCTAGTGTATCAGCCTGCATTTAAAAGAAACATGAATTCTCTACAGCCTACATTTACTTCTAGAAGTTTGATTGAAGGTAATTTTTCCATATCCATTATAGTTCAAAGTTGTTGAAGGTAATTTTTCCATATCCATTATTTTTTATTGTTTCAATTTAGACAGGTCACCGAGTTCCCTGTTATTGTTATTGACCTCATCTTATTCTCAATCAAAATATTTTTTCCAGCTGAACATGGATCAGATGAGGGTACTAATTAATTTGGAACAAACAATAGATAAGAAAGTTGTCAAAAGTTTGAAAAGAAAAAATGGAGTTACCCTACTCATATACACGTAGATGACACGAGAAAGAGATGCACATGAGTTTGAAAATGTTCATTGCTTAAAACTCATTTGCAAAGACTAAATTTTTAACACTGTAAGACGCATAAACAAACTTTCTTTTGAGCAACATGGGAACAATTTCATTAAAAAAACATACCCCTAGCCATGAGCTCAGAGTGAAAGGCAATACAGAGACAATACAAGGATAAACAAAAAGAAAACAAAAGAATTAAACCCCCACCCACCAAGCAGAATCTGGAAGGAATATGCTTAAAAATGGCAAAACTAGCAACAGAAAAAACTGACCATTACCGCCCCTGCAACAAGATACTCGCAGAAATCAACACCACAAGCATAAGCCCACAGACTTACTAAGATACCAAGATAAACCCAAGGCAGTAACATATTCCTATTATTTTGTCTTGTTTCCAAGTAGAGAAACCTTTTCAGTAATCCATCGATTCATCTTCCACTAATACCTTAGTTGCAAATGAATTTCAATAAGATGCAACCATCACTCCTCTTCAATTTCTATATTTCTCAATCGAAATTTTGAAGCTACCTATGATGTTACCATTTACCTTACATAAAAAATAAAAAATATCAAAACATTTTGCTAAAATTAGGTAACCCCAAATTTTATAGTTCAAGAGCTCATAACCCTAGCCAATCAAAGAGAATAAGGATTGCAAGCAGAGTAGACATGATGCAATGATAAAGAAGATGAAGATGAAATACAATGGCAAACTATTCATAGATCGTGCAAAGACAACATGTAGAAGACACAAACCTGCAACTTCAATTTTAAGGAGATGAAATACGTCATTAGGAACAGAGAAGGTTGCACTCGCTGTAAAAAAACTAACGTGTAATTTAGTAAATGTGGAATTTCAAGTAATTAATGTAAAGGGAAAAAAAAGACAGATGATTGATAGAGAACCCTATACCTGTGAAGTCAGATTAGCTGAATCGATTGCAGATGGCCTTGTGCTTCCAGATAAAGAACCCTATACCTAAAAATTCAACTTATTTGGGGTTTTTAAATTGCATATTGCCGAGGTTACCCCTGAACAGGAACCACCATTGTTAGAAGAAGTAGAAAAAGACGAAGTAGAAAAAGAAAAGCCGTTTGAGATCGAGAGTATTGAAGTAGAAAAGAACGGGTCCCATTCCAATTTCAAAAGTTAACAAAACTGGAAAAGGAATCTGAAAAATACCCGATGATCCAGAGTTGAAAGAAGTTGAAATGGAAGATTGATTGTTTGAATTCGCTCATTTATTCCGAACCCTCGCACGTACTGGGTTGAGAGAAAACGAGAGAAGCGGAAGCTTGAAAGAAAATAAAACCCTAACACATGCTAGAGAGAAGGGAGGTGGCGATGGCTTAGGGTTTACAGAGAGACGGGAGGTAGAGAATGAAGGGAGATCTAAAGGAGAGAGTATCAGAGAGGGGAGAGTGGATTGCAAGGATGAAAGATAGATAGAAGATAGGAAAAACGAGGCAGGTTTTCAAAATTTTGGGGATTTCGTTTCCCCCCTCGTCTACTAAATGCGCGTTTCATTAAAATTATAAAGCGACAGGTACAGACGACGCGCGTTTAAGATAAAGTGCCCTCCGTGTTTTTATTTTTTTTCTTGAGACACTAAATTAAGGGCACGCAATAATGTGTGACATAAATCCTTAAATTTTTTGGAGAGATAACACTATTTTAAGGGCACGTCCTTTTGCGTATCAATAATCAGTGCGCGTCATAAAAAGCGCGTCATTAAAGGTCTGTTTTCTAGTAGTGTCAATAGTAGTACAACGGTAAAATGACGCACAAAAACGGACCCCGAATGAAGAAGTTATGAATTTTTAACGGATTTTCCTTTCCCGAACTGTTAAAAACAATATTAAAAATAAATTCAAATTTAGCCAAAGAAGTCTAAACAAAAGTCGTAGAGTATAATTTTACCTACGCGTGCATATGAAGAACATCAAAAACGGAGTTCGTATGCAAAATCTATGAGTTTTAGAAGTTTTTGGCTCCAAAACCAAGAAATTGTGGAAAACCGGGAAAAATCGCATGGTCATCCTTCGGGCACGTCGCCTCGCATGTGAGGCCTCCCTGTGTCAGACACATGTTCGCTTCTGATTGGACCAAAGTTATTCGTGGCAGCTTCTGATTGGACCAAAGTTCAGCCATCTCCTAATCTGACACGCGCCTCATACCGGTGGCGCCTTTTGAACCTCGCATCGTTGTCTCCGATTTCGTCCTCGTGGCCTTGGCTGCTTATGACGCGTGGCTGCTGACTCACCCTTTGGACCGCACCCTCGCAACCCTATATAAAGGGTGCTAGACTTCTCGGATTTTTCACACATTTCACCCCATTTTCCATTTCTTTTCACTTCTTTCACTTCCACAAACTTATATACAACCCCTAAAGCCCCGGTATCAAGTCTAAAACCTTAAGCAAGCCTCGAATCCCCGAGATTGCCTAGAAAAACAACCTCTCTCCAGTCAAAACTCTGTCCAATTAAAGCCGATTTTTCACCAAATAAAATCCTTGCCAGAAAACGAAACGCTATCTAAATCACCACTTATCAAGTGAGTTCATACCCTTGTATTGTCATAGTTTTTTCAATTTTAGGGGGGGGGGGGATACAAGTATAACATAAGAACTTTGTGCTACAAATAAAAGATTCCAAATCATGATTAAACGACATTAATTCATCAAAAATACTCAAAATATTAAACTCTTTTATAAACTTATATTTTTCCCCAAAATTCAAATTTATATATATATATATATATATATATATATATATATATATATATATATATATATATATATATATATATATATATATATATATTAATAAAAATAAGGTTTAAAAGGCTTAGGACTAATAACTCATTCTAGGTGCTTTTCCTTGTTTGGGTGTAAACTTATAGTACCGGTTATTTGTCCGAATGTCGTTTAAATTTTACTTATATATAAAATTGTATATGTATATAAATATAAAAGTTATTTCATCAGTTTAATTACCCTTTGTAACATGTTGACAAAGGGGTTACATGCTAAAATAGTTAAATGCCAATTCATAAGGTACATATAAATTATAATAGGTATAATTTATGATTCATAGAACAACAATTCATGATTCAAGTATACTAGAATACACCGTTTTACAATAAACAATGGTTTGATTCAAAACAAATCAAGGGTTTACAGTTTTCAAATACATGTTAATTCATGGGTATATAATCAATCATTTATTTCAGAATGATTGGGTTTTCATTATACATGTAACGTTTATATGCTTTGTATGAGACATTCAATTCAGGTTGTTTAATTCATTTAGACAACCAAGGTAAAGTCCTAATCTTATAACCAGAGTCTCCAGTCAGGGGGATCGAAACAAGTTGTGTGTAGATCTATATCGGGACTGACAACCCCGCACTCAGGCTTCTAGCTACAGTCAGTCATACACGCCAATGAGTGGCAATTGTTATCAACATTTAAACGCCCACAAAGCGTTTGTTTCAGGCCATCATATTTTAGTATGGTTATAATAACTCACTAAAAAGATATTAATGATAATCAACTAAACATAATTACACCTTCAAAGTACCAATTTACAGAATACAAAATACAATAGTACAATACGATTTTCAGTAACAACTAGTGGAACCAGGCACACTCTCAGTTACAAGTTTTACATAAATGAATACAAATACAAAACATTGATTTACAAATTGAACGGTTTTATGGAAATAAAACTACTTTTCGTATACAACAGAAACTATAGGATTTTCTGGAACAATTTACATATGCAAGATACAGAGACATCCTTTCAAACATAAACAATTATGCACTCACTCAACATTATGTTGATACTCTCTTTTCAAATTGCTTTTATTCTCAGAGAAACAATAAACAGGTACTCCCCAAGCTTTTTGAGAAGATGGAGCTATTTTGAGTCATATCTTCTTCTTTTGTATAACTATTTCGGTTTCAATATACAATGATTGAACACATGTAAATACTTATACTTTTAAATACAATGGTTGTTTGTACTTTGATTACTATGATGCATGTGTTGTGATACTACAAATGAAGTCCTCCACCCCCGGACGTTTCCGCCATCTGGTTTGGGGGTGTGACAGAGAGAGAGAGAACCTTAATGATAAAGAAATTATGGTGCAGAATTTTAAGTTAATCTCATGGACCTGAACAAAGCTTGACAATAATAAGTTAGTAGAATTATGAAGAAAATATAGCAACAAATACATCAATAAATATAAGCAAGTTAAGAAGATATTTGTTGAATCATAACTTGGCTTGCAATCAAACACATGTTATTAACTGACGAACAACTAAGTATATGTGACATCCCCAATTTCACAGCCAGAAAAGACCGATTTGTTTATGCTTTATTTTAAAATCAGAGTATACTTTTGAAGAAATATGTTGCGGAATTTCTTCCCAAAATATGATAAAGAATTTATCAAAGCATTTCCAAATAAATGTATTTTCATTATATTAAAAACCTCGGGATGTCATTGTCAATACAGATCAAAAGATTAAATGGAAACAACATAGACCTTAGAATATTCTATTTATTTCTACTGGCCTATAATCCATAATCTCTCATCTGATCATCACATCTATGCTCTTGTACCAATACCTATAATAAGAGAAAATGATTAGGTGAGGCTTCGAAGTCTGGTTAGCACATAGGGTTTTCAACCCACAGTAATTAAGTTTATTACTTTCATCAGATCAATCAACCCGATTACCCATTCCCGTTATCCTCACTTTCTGTCCCTAAAGCATCTAAATTAAGGGACCTAGCCTAAGGATCATTGGGATGACAATATTGCTTAGGGGATTCCTCCGAAATATATGTCAGTAAGGAAACCATGAGGGGGATTTAGTACACTAATGAACACATCGTTAAGAAACACCTACAGGTTGTGAGTCTGCCAGCGTTCCACTAGACTGTCTAGAATAGTCAATGGTCATCATCTATACTCCACCAGATGACTAAGTCAGCTTAAACATCGAGGCCTCTCATCATTTACTTCATTATCTATATCATCTACCCATCTTTACCCATCACAAATATAAGTACGAAATACATATACAGTTTAAATCAAGTAATACATGTATATTTTGTTCATCCAACATAAATATCAGGTACATGGATAATATGAACACATAGCACGTAATTAATATTATATACAACATATCTATGTGTAAGATGAAAGTAACTATGCAATCACTTGTCAAAGTGATGATTCAAAATTCGGGCAGCGCTTCACTTCTAACAATTCTATGTTCCCTCGGCGAAACCTAGTATCCATACCTTTAGATTTTAGTCTAATATTCATTGCGACTATTTGCAAGTGATATTGTTT